ATTCGTATGAAATTTGGTATCTAAGGCTTTTTGGCCTCACTGATTACGAATTTAAAGTCAGTTTTTGAAAATTCAAAATGGCGGATCCAATATGGCGGACGGATTTTCATTTTTTTTAAGGATTTCTCTGAAACATTGTATCTAGAGGTTTTTAGCCTTGCTAATTACGAATCTAAAGTCAGTTTTCGAAAATTCAAAATGGCGGATCCAATATGGCGGAAGGATTTTAATTTTATTAAGGATTTCTATGAAATATGGTATCTAGGGGTTTTTGGCCTCGTTGATTACGAATCAAAAATTCTTTTTTGAACTACTTTTAGCATTACCCAGGAACAACGACGTGGACGTAGTAGCTTTTTGTTCCCATTGGGGTGCTTTATTAAAAGTGAGTCCCCTTGCGTCTCACTTTTCGAGAGGTTTTTGCTGTGAGTCCCCTTGCCTCTTACAATATCGGGAGTTTTTTGCTGTGAGTTCCCTTGCCTCTCACTTTTCGGGAGGTTTTTGCTGTGAGTCCCCTTGCCTGTGACTTTTCCGCTATCAAAACTTTCAAAGAATATTTGGGTGTCAACAGATTCTTTGATTAAATTCTCTAAATGAAGAGCAAATAATCTTTCTTCTTCTATAATTACTGTTTCCAGATTGTATTCTGGACGATTAAAACTTTGTTGTAATAAGAGAACAATATTTTTTGGGTTCATGGACGTTTTTGAAGGTTTTTTCCTTTGACCAATGATGGCATTAGTTTAAAATTAAACTTACCTAATATTGAGTTTTAAAAAGTTCTTCTTATACTGTAAAAAAAGAAAGTAAAAACCAATACTTACCTGCTATTGCAGTATAAATACAACTGAATTAAATGTACTATACTATTAAAATGTTAAAATATTATACTATTTAAATGTATTATACTCCGCTACGCCGATTCTGGACAGACCGATTCGATCTTACGCGTAAGCAGATATAGCTGCTGGGCTGACTGACATCTACAAATGTATGCTATGTGGCACAACCAATACTTACCTGCTCTTGCAGTATAAATACAACTGATTTAAATGTGTTATAAAGATTAAAAAATATTCAAAAAACATAAGGCGTTTACTTTATTATTTTAAAGATGAATCTTACATGTGAGAAGATATGGCTGCTGAGATGACTGACATCTACAGATACTATATATATATATATTATATGCCACGTTTTCTCCACGATCCATCGTCTGACACTGTTAAACCTTCTGTTTGACCTTTTTCTATAGGCAAAGCTTTTTCTTTTTGAGCTGCCATTAGCATACTTTTTTGCCTGGAAACAAACTTTATATATATATAAAGTTTGTTTCCAGGCAAACAGCTGTATTATACTTTTATAATTTTTCAAAGTACAACAGTGAGGGCCAGGAAAAACCAGAGCATGGATTTTGTAGTGTCACAAATTTTATAATTTTACACAAAAGACATTCGTTATTTTTATTGGCCATAACTGGAACAACATAACCAGTTCTAGCCACCCTATGGCCAAAAATGGAGCATTATATTAATATATGATCTAGTATTCGACACTTATTATTTTTTGCTTAATAGGAATCAAATACATGGTTATGCATATTGAGATTAACTTTTAGGCTTTCCGTAACCCGATTATAGAAACATTCATTCACAATCATGTCTTTTATATCATAATTTTAACATTTATCTTATCTCGTATGCTTAACGTTTTGCACAAGAAAATGCAGTAATTCGTTTATCTTCGGTTATAAATATTTATTAGGTGGTAAACTTAGTTCCTGCGGCTCACAGTTAGATGACGTTAGTTGTAGGTGTAATTTATTTTGACATCTGAAACTGGCTGCATTTTAGAGGTTAGACATTTGTCAATAAAATTCAGTGCGAAGAGATTCATTTAAGCGAGCAGTGCTATTTTTTCTTTTGATTAAATATGGAACGTGATAAGTTGTTTTTTCGACATGTGCTGCTTCATTACTTTGACTTGAAAAAAACTG